TTGAAGATCATTTGAGACCACAACGATTTTGTGAGTCTTGTAGCATCCCATTTGGCACACTTTAGATGAATAGTTCATTGTACGTAGCTCGAACAAGAAGATTGAAGCAAATTCATCACAGTATGGACCTCTACTTCCCTAACAGCTCTTTATGATTTCAAGAACACGCAACACTGCCATCGAGTATGAAACAAGTGAATGGAATGTTTACTAGCTGCTGTTCAAAGTCCATGGACTTAGCAAGGATGAGGAATGTCAATATGTCCTTTCGCTGCTTTGTTGGGAAAGATTTTTCTGACGTACATCTTCCAAAGTTTGCATTCGAGCTGCTTTGACTTTTGGAAGGACTTTCACAACTCTGTGGACAGCTTGTTTGCAGGAAGTGGGTGTCTATATGACACTTTGTCGAATATATGGACCCTTTTTTCTTCTTCTCTGCGTCTTCACCCTTTCCCTTTTTTGAATGGTACTTTTCTCTAGCCTTAGCATTATAGTCTGCCCTTTCCGTCTGACTTGACCAGGATGCTGTTACCTCTCTTGTGTAGCTTTTCCATTTCTTTCTTTTGTATCACTTGCCCAACAAACCTACATGTTGCAACTTTGCTAGTGGTACCAATGTGAGGTTTTTCCGTCTTGTTTTTCCTACATTTCTTAACTTGTTCTTCAGTCTTTGCTCTCTGATTTGCCACCTCCTTTTCCCAGCCGAATGTTTTCAGCTCTTTACAATCGCACATCGGTGTTACCCTTTGTTTTCTTTGATCGGTCGTGGTATTCCTTAGTTGGCTCAGTGTTAAACTTTATTGTAATAACTCTGTGTGTTTCTTTTCAGAATATCGGTACTTGAAAGCAATGCATTCAGAGATCTGTAACGCAGAGCATGCACCTATGGTACTGTAAAGTTGGAAAGAGAATGTGGGAGCGGGAAGGGTAGATGAAAAAAGTGTACCAATCAGTTTTGTCACTGAATTAAAAGAGATTAACCCGTGCTATACTTTGTTGAAAATAAGATTATGCTGCATTACTGTTTTATTAAAGTAATTAGCAACAGAAAAAGTAGTCACAAATTTTGTTTTGGAATGCATATCAATAAAGTGAATATATACTTAAAACGATGTCATTCATCACTTATGTGGTCTTGCTTGTCTTATCATAGTCCAAGACGATAAAATCAGCTACTATGTCCCAAATATTATTGGGATAACACTTGTTACAAAAACTTTGGTCAAAATGATTTAGTCCGTGTGACCATTAAGACCAATGTAAAAACTTACTTTCCTCTTGTTAAAGCCTATATTAACTTTTGATGAAAACTAAGGGCAAAGCTACATTGTGGACAAAGCAAAGCAGCACGGGTTGGGCAATCAAAATAAAATCAAAGGGAAAGATGGACATTATCAGCCATACCAAGATCGACACGAGGCGAGGAAATGCCAGGGGAAATTTCAGCCGATGTACAATCGCTTTCATCGCTTGAAATGTACATGCGTGCACACGAGCACATTATTGACAGCATGCTTGACACTAGTAGATCTACATAATTTCAGTGGTGATAACAAGAAAGGAAAACGAGGAGAGTTAGTGAAAACTGTTTGTCAAAACAAAAGTGAAAAATAAAAGCAAAGCACGCAATGCATTTACTTTTATTCAAAGCAAGACATTATAGAATTGGCCTCTTTTCAATTAATTTGTTGTCCAAGATCTACCTGTCCATCGGTTCTCAATAACATTCCCTTCTTAACACTCTTTCCATCTGTCTCTTATTCTTTCTTTCTCAATCCTCGAGATAGGATATCTGAAATTAGTAGTCCTTTATGTGAGTTTAACCATGAACATTTCATGCAGATAGAAAAAGGAATCATGACTCATTCAAACTGAATCTACCCATCTGCTTTTGTCGTCTGGTAAATTTCTCTTCAAGTGGTGAATTTCACCAAACTAATGACGCATTTAATTAATCAGGTTCGCCTACTCCCATTCTTTCTTTTTTCTTTGTAGTTACCCCGTCGATCAGGAGAAACACCGCCAATATTTTTCTGTTAATTTTCAACTGAAACTAAAATTTACCTAGAAAATCCCACACAACGTCGCACCGCTTGCATCGCCCTTTTTGCCTTGTTCCCGGAGTTTATGCCTCGTTTTGCACCACAAAGCCACAGTGTGACATTACCCAAAATATACTTTGTATTTCCTTGACAGGGCCTATCTGCAAATGTTAATATTGATGCTCCATCTTAAACATTATATTCGAAACACTGAGCCAAGCAGCCGTGTCTTTATATTTGTAATGTTTCAAACAACTCATTCTATAAAGATAAAACACAAAGACCAATACTTAGTCTAAATCATTACAATGAAAAAATCAAACACTTTGTCCAATTTCCTTTTCGAAACAACAAACACTATGAAAACCAACAATCTTTGTTTTGGCATGGGTCCAAACTCATCCGTTTCCTTGAGGGACTTTAAGATTTCATCAATGAATCACATATCTTGCAGTCATATATCAAAGAAAGCAAATTTTAAGGCAATTCAAGGCTTAATCATTACTTACATCTTAATCGTTACACTGCTAAAATTGCGAGACGAAGTCCGTCATATTCACTTTCTATAGACACAGTTGTCTTGCCGGGGAATAGATGAAAGCCAAGTTGATTGAAAATCAGTGCATTTGACATAAAAACAACGCACTAAAATTTCGAGCAACTTCCGGCGGAAGTAAACACGCCGATCTTAATCATTACAACGTGACAAAAATTCAGACGCAACTATTTACCGCTAAAATTTCGTAATCGCTCTAGCAATTTTGTTCTTGGTTGATGAAATGACTTAAGTGATCGTATTTCTAATTCTACAGTAAAAAATTATACTTTTTTAAAAGATCGATTGGACTGAAGATAGGGTTACTGTTTTTTTACCATTTTACGGATGAGACGTGTAGTGTTTAAGACCGAATTTTAAGTCCTTTGTATGAAGAAATGGGTCGCTATAAACATACATTTGTCGAGTACCCTGAAAGTTCTACTTAAGATCAGTATTAGACCCTTAATTTACGAAAATGAGATGCAGACAATTCTTGGATAAATCTTAGGATGAAAACTGTCTCTGGTGAATGTTACGTTTTCATACCTAAAAAATGCTGAATTTTAACCAAAAAAAACCCCCACCCTGTTTTAGCATATCGTTTTATTGGATATTTTCTGCCTAGTCCAGGTTCGGCAATCTTTTCATCACCGGCTTAGCTGATCTTAACTATGAATTGAAATAAATACAGCTTTTTATGGTGTCTGTGGTAAAAGGTATGTGCAAGTTCAAGTTTTCAGGAGAATTACCCATATCTATCTATCTATCTATCTATCTATGGCCATATATATATATATGTTGTGTGTGTTTTATCTTTTAATATCCAGAAGTTTCACATCAAGAACTCCTAGACCACCAAAAAGTCCCGAAAGACTCATCAACCAGTGTGCATGAACTTAAGTTGACCCCGTCAACGGAAGGTCCCCGACATACACGGAACTCACACCGAAGTCACGTGATGCGAACGCACGATTGATTGAAACAGAGAAGGCCTAGGTTCAGACCAAAGCAACGACAACGGCACAGTGTCAGGATGGGGTCGGGTCGGGGGTGATCACCCGACTCGTTGCCTGAAAACAAACCTGCTTGTTTTTTAGGCGACGAGTCGGGCGCGATCGACTTGTGCCACGATACCCTCTTTGCACCCTCAATCTGGCTTGCAAACCCTCCTTACCTGACCCCACCCGATCCCCCAATGGGCACCCTGTATTAGGGTTAGAACGACTGTCGCTCGTCCGAGTGTTTGATGTGAATGCACGGTTACCAGACCTCGGACGAGGCTTATTTTGAAAGTAACACTGTAATAGTAGAACTAGAAATATTATCAATTTTTGTATGTCGCAATTGTAACACTTATCAGGCTATCATCGGAGAATTCTGAGTGCGGGTAAAGATCAAACACAATTTAGGAGGAGTCAACTACTAAATCTGGCATCAATATTTCGGAAAATAATGCTCCGAGTTCTTACTGACAAAAAGTTTAACGGGTGCTTCCCGCGACAGAGAAGAATGCAGAGTAAGTTTTCACAAAAATCCAGCACAACAGCAGACTGGAACAAAAAGTCGGGGCACACACTTCCGAAATCGGAAAAATCAGGATGCTTGAGATTTGGGGAAAAAAATCAGGATATCCCGACAAAATCAGGACCAGTGGCAGGTCTGCTAATGTGCCAACGGTACAGTAGGACAATGTAGGTCATAGTCTACAATTTGTTTGAGTAAAGAAAATCACATTCTCATAAAAAAGGCCACTTAGTGCTGGGAAAAAGCGTGAATGACAGAAATAACAAAAAGAAAGAAAAGAAGGACCTAACACAGACCTGTAAACTTAAAAGGAGAATCAGGCAAATACTCATCAACTTCAGGCCAACATCAAAGCTAGTTTATACAGAATTACGAAGATAGAAGACAACATACACAGAACCAAACACAAGGTTGTAATTATTACAGATACTGTCTCTCTTCACTGCACTCCAAAATTTGAAGTAAAAAAGACGTCAATACCATTACAATTTCTATGGCAGGTATCAGCACTCAGACCCACCTGGGTAATCATGGTATCCACAGTAATGGAAATCCTGACAGCTTAGCAAAGGAGGGAGGACATCTGGGATAGTCATATTATGTTTTAGTAGAGGTTTTATGGCGCTCGCAACTGTATAAGGTCATAGAAGCGCCAGAGGATTAGAGGTGTTAAAAGAGAGTAACAAACAAAAAAGAAGAAGGGCAGACAAAGACTAAAAACGACAGATGTTTGATAGGAAAGAAGAAGCCAACCACCCACAGATAGTCAGATTAAAATGCCTCCGCTATGACGAAATGGCAATAATTATAAAGTCGATTTTCAACAGACAACAGAAGCAGTAGCATCCCGCCTATAATCAGTTATTGCAAGCTTAAAACATAAGAACATGTCATACTTTTTTTTGGAAAGAGTTCAGACAGGGCACAACAGTGCACTGAAAGTTAGTGACTGGTGAGTGGGAGACATGGCCATGCCGCATGACACCCATGATCACGGGCCATCTGTTTGAGAAATGGCCAATACAAGCAGTTCCAGAGAGGACACAAGGTCTGAGCCAACGCCATTTAGAGACAAGATTCATGGCAACTTGGGAGGCACTTCAATGGACTGCCGCAATTGTGAGCAGGCACCGCCAAATGATGATCAAATAAGAAAACAAATTTCAAGAATAGCTTTTCCTCTGTGAAATACCTGACACATATTATGTATCCACCCCCCTCCCCCCAACACACACACATACACATTCTCAGCAGACACACAGAAATGATCATAAAATCTCAAATTGTTTCTTCAACTCTAAAATGAGCTTCCAGTCAGGCTTGCTCATCTCCTCTCGGAAGTGATCCTTTACAGCATCAATGGACTGGCGGGAGATCTGAAATAAACAAGTAAACAGAATCATTTACTGTTTTCTTGCTCCCATTCACACCTGATCAACCAGTAAGATAGTCAATTTTCAGGTAATGGTCAGCAGGCATTACAATACTCACATTTAATTAAATTTGGGTACACAAAAGCACACAGACACAAAAACGGATATTTAGCACAAGAGGAAAAAACCAGTAGGCGACTCAACCCTCTACACTCCCCACTCATATTTTACCAACTGCATAATCTTTGGAAATGGACTGGGCTGGTGTGAAAGGGCTAATCAAACAGTAAAAGACCACAAGAATAATGATAAATGACACTGTTAATTAGTTTATTAAGGAGTAGGTTATTTTGACTCTGTCAGGGCCAACCTAGTCTGGGTGGGACGTAGCGTCTTACTTTACTTAAGACTTAGAGACTCCCACGTATTGAGACACATGTGGCACTCAGTGATGACCAGGAAGATTTGTCTGCAACTAAGGAGGAGACATCTCTCCACTTCTTGGCTGTTACTTTTTAGGTCTTTCACGAAAGTTTGCTTCCAAACATGTCCATTAATTTTTTTTAATGGAATATCTTGTGAATGCAATGTGCATTGACCATTTTTTTAGACAATGGAAATACACAGCATAAATGCTATTTATTATCATTAACGGGAAGTAAACTATAATGTAAGACATGAAACTTATAGTAATTTTATAATGTATGTAGGCCTACAGTATAACAGGGATCGCTCAAATTCGTCAGGACCTGCCTCAGTAGTTCGAGGGATACCTTACAAAGATAAAGAAGAAAAAAAAAAGAAGAAGAAAAAACAGGACTGCTGGTACAGTTAGACGGATGTGTGATCTCGAGTCTTCTGTGTTTGACTTATCCCTGTTATACTGTGTGTATTAACAATTTACGTGAGAAAATTAGTCACGCAATGAGCCTGGCAATGTGTTCACAAAAAATGTAGACTGCAATTGAAACCCACCAAGGGTCACAATAAAACTGAAACTCGAATGGCTGCAGACAGAATAAAACTTTCATTTTCTGTTTCTCCCCCTCTTTTTCTATCACTCCCACAAGCAATTTCTTCAGTCTCACCGTCGGGCACACACATGCATGAATCAGGAAAAGTAACTGTTAATCCTTTTGAATATAATGTTTGTTAGCACCTCCTGTTGGGATTTTTCTTACTTTTTGTTTGTTCTTGAGTTCCAGTGAATGTTGAGTATCCTGCGAAAGGCATTTGTTATCAAAGGAGTCCAGTCGCCTTTCCTGTTCTGTCTTTAAGCTCCATGGCTCGCAACCAAACAGCATTACAAAAAACATTAGAGTAGTACACGCTCAGCTTCAACTTTGAGCTCAGATTTTTATTTTTCCAATTTTTTTTTAGCTTGTTGAAAGCTCCTAGGGCTTTACCCATACAAATTTCGATTTCTTTCAGGGTGAAAACATCACATGTTAACTGGCTGCCAAGGTATGAGAATATGTGAACAATTCCATTATTTTAGCATGATATCTAGAGGTGGTGCATTGGTGACAGTCATTGCTTGTGTCTTTCCCTCATTGATGTGCAGTCCTGTTAGTCCAACCTGAGAAGTCTTGACGTCTCTTTTAGTTTCTCCAGGGAAGGCTAGTCAACAAAATCTAGGCAATTTGGATGTTATCAGGTGGATTCACCCAATAAAATATATTTGCCAAAGCAGGAGTCAAGCTTCAATTTTTTGGTAAGCAAAATGAACATCAAATAAGTTCAGGGGGCTCTCGTGGCCTAGAGGTTAAGGTGTTGGCCTCTCATTCAAAGGTCCCGGGTTCGAATCCGGGTAGCGACCGAAAAATTTTCTTCTCTAAAATTGTCTCCTTTCACCTCCTTTCCTACTCTCTAGCAATGTTCTGTTGTCTGCTTTCATTTCCACTTTCTGCCCCCACCCCCTCACCTCCTTTGCCCCCTCCTCTGGGCTCCTGACTCTTTCTGCAGCCTTTCTACTGCTACTCCTTGGCTCCTCCTTACTGCTGTCTTTCTGCCACACCCCTGATCATCTGGTAGGAAAGATCTACACCTAGCCTTCTCAGACAAGGGCGAAAAATCTCGGAGGGCCCCTGTGCAAGTTGCGCACGTTAAAGATCCCTTGGTGGTCTAAAATCGATAAGAGTAGGCTTCGGCCGCCCACCCGGGCAAAATTCAAAATTTCCTACCAACTGAAAATATTAGGTGTGTCCCGCGCGCTCATATGACCTATGCAGTTGCGAGCGCCGTAAAACACTTTACAAAAATAAAAACAAACAAATAAGTTCACCCCAGAAGCTCTAACTAAAATGCATCCAAACTGGACAAAAAATATTTACCCACATTTCTCTTTACTCGTGCAAAAAATGTAGTCATGTAAGTTTTAAATTGCCACTAACACTAGTTAGATCATTAAGGAAATGGGCTGCTTCCATCCTGCCTGTCAAAGCGAATCCAGTCTGAGAGGGATACAAAGTCCCAGAAGAAAGATGGAGATGTTCCCAAAAATTTCTCCCCAACTGGAATCAAACTCAAGTCTCCTGCGTACACCAGCAAAGCACCAAACAGCTACACCACAGACAATGGTCATTAGCCATGCAAAAAGCATCATGTTTTACAAACATGCATCTAACATAGGGAAAATTCCATTTTATTCAAGTCCCTGATTTCTAACTAAAGTGACAGATTTAGGAGGAAATACATTCAAACAGTTTACCATCTTGGGTATTTGCATTTGGTTATTTTTGCTAAATGCCTTTTCAGTGACTCTAGTTCTGACTACAACATAAGAAATACATTTTGAAAACCTCCAGTGTGAAACTAAGCTGCCCACTTTTTGAACTTAAAGCTTTACTAGTTCATAAAACAGAGCCTGTGACGGAAGTGCACTCAGCCGTTCAAGTACATGATAAAAAAATTGTCTTGTTCTGCCTGAGGCCCCAGCACTCATTTCTCAGCTGCAGACTAAAACTTATTTCTTAACATGATGGAGGAGGGGGAGGAAGGTGAGGTGAAGGAGGAGGAGGAGAAAAAGAAGGGAAGAAGGAGAAGAAGAAAAAGAAGTGAAGAAGAAGAGGAAGAAGAAAAAGACAAAGATGAACAAGAAAAAAAGTCAGGACAAGACATATTATAAAAAACCACAATGCCCAGCTAAGAACCGCAACACGAGGAGCAACACAACAGAAAAAGTAGAAAGTGCAGACCATAGCAGTAGAACACCCCCCCCCCCCCAAAGCTCTTGTCTCTTTCCTTACCTTACTGACAAGCATGTCGGTTTCGTCAAAGTGGCGACCGTACATCTTAGGCGCCTCTCCTGGAGTGGGCAGTATTTTAATGCAAATTTCCTGGCCTTGACGAGCCATGTCAACTGCCTTGTGGTTGAACTCAATGCTGGACACCCGACCCAGCTCCACAAACTGGAAGAAAGAGGTTTTTTGCTTGACATAGTTCCCATTGAGTAAACAAAAGCACAAAAGATCAATGGATTAAGACATTACGCAGGATATTTGACCACAGCAAAATGGGACAATACCATGGCTGGAAAAAAAGTAAGAGTAAGAGTTACACACAATATGAAACTGCAACCAACCAGTGTGCTCTAAAAAAAATATATCCCTTTTTCCACCGGGGGGGGGGTGGGGGGGGGGGGGGAGAGGGGTGTCCAAATTCTATCTGAAAGAGAGCAAACTGAGACTAAAACTAAAGTGAAAACCGTAAAAAGAAATAATCGTTCTATGGCACCAGGCCAAACCAGCGGTAAGAAGAAGCAAATAAAATAAACACAATAACCACCATTTAGTGTCACCAAAAAGAAATATATAAATCAACAAACAAATGCGTGAGAATAAAGAAAATGGACATACATTATATAATTATATTTATTAATATGAGTATTACATATAATAAATATGAAACACGATTATATAACACAGTTGTTTCCCCCCCCCCCAGATCTATTACTCGTTTAGTATTTTCTAATGTCACATTTGGATGGTATCGGTTTTGGTAATCATCAATCGAATTGTATTGATACTGTTAAAAAAAAAAAGTGCGCGGATCTGATACTGCGCGGCTTTAATGGGCTATTATTTTTTTTCTTCGAAAGTGCCCTCTCTGAAAAAAGGACGCCAAAGTTTTGTGACTCCAATAGCTTTGATTAACAATTTTAAGTAAAATTCATGCAGGAATGTGTTTCTTAAGTGGACACAAAAGATGTCGAGCCCACCTGCCCCTAAAAACCCCCTGATAATTTATTTTAAAAACCCAACGAGCGGGTAAATGTCGATTTCTTCGAATTCATTACTTTGACGAGCGCCCGATTTCACCACGGTTTAATACAAATGGCTCTGGCGGGCGTGGTCAGAAAGCTTGAAATGTAAATGTTGAGTGCATCGTAAGACCAAACCTGACAACAGAGAGGACTCAAGTCAAACGGTATAAAACTTCCCACACGACTATAGCAAAGCAATAATTATTCTGGAAACAGAATCTTTCGTTGCTTTTTTATAATCCACTTCGAGACAGCTAGGGGGTAGTCAGGAGAGAGAGAGAGAGAGAGAGAGAGAGAGAGAGAGAGAGAGAGAGAGAGAGAGAGAGAGAGAGAGAGAGAGAGAGAGAGAGAGAGGGGGGTCTCTATCCTATCCCCCATCCGGTTAGGCTATAAGGAAATGAGTGCCCTTCCAGCTTGGCTGAAAATGCCCTCGCTTGGAAGCACTTCCGGTCTGTAATGGCAACACACCACGCAACCGTTCTACTTCTACCCTCACTTCTGCTCCCCGCACGGCTGGGTCTAAATCAAACTTGCTCTTTGCAAAACGAAAAAAAAGGGGTGGGGGTGGGAGAGGAAGAGTAGCCTTTTATCTTTAGCTGCATTGTGTTCTACGTTCGTGTCGTGCTTTAAAGAAGCGAGCTGACAAAATAAATATCAACCTACGCATGTGTGTGTGCCTGGTAAAAAGTACCGTATGACTCATTATGAGCAAGTGCATTTTATTGCATTTTCTGGTGCAGAATTCACTTTTAAACAACTTGCCTTTCAAATTTTTTAAGACGGCTACTGTACTTCGTGAGATTTTGTTAGTTTTGCCATGTAGTGAGCGGAAACACAGTTTTGGGGGAAAATAAATTTAAAGTTTCCCTTAGATCTGGACCGAGCTAACAGGCCGTGTTATTTGTCTCCAAAACCCTTGATAACACTGTTTCTACTCGAAAGGTAACTTTAAACAAATCAGTGTAAGACAATTGAACAGTCTAAAAGTGTTATTTAAGTATTTTCAAAGCAAATTCGAGTAGAACTAGAAATTTCGCAAAATAACTTCGCTTTGCTCATGAAATGTGGGATGGTACGTTAGCGTAGAGCCTTGAGATACCTTTATTTACTGCGCACTGCACAGCACAGCACAGCACAGCACAAGAAAGCACACTAGCTGACCTAAATTTTGAAGTGAAGGGATTGATTTTCACGAATGAGTCGTAGAAATCGTCGCAAATGGCAATGCTACAAATTCCGTAGAGTAGCTTTGATTTGCTCATGAAGTGGAATAAGGTACACGTGCGCAGAGCCTTGCTATCCTTTACTGTTTTGTCACACATGCGAAGTTGCCATGCAATCGAGATATTAATATGTTACATGCTGACCTAAATCTTGATAGATCTGTGCAATGTGACGGTGTGTGTGTGTGTGTGTGTGCGTGCGTGTGCACGTGCGTGCGTGTGTGTGTATGTGTGAATGTGTGTGTGTGTGTGTGTGTGTGAGTGCGTGTGTGTGCGCGCGCGAGTGTGTGTGCGTGTGTGTATGTGTGCGCGTGTGTTACGGGAGTCACGCATCATATAAAATAAGATAGAGTAAGGAGAAACACATCGACACGATTTTTTTAATGGCAATCAAATAGAGCAGAGACATACAAATAAGCATCAGTTTTAGATTTGGTAACAGTTTTAAAGCTATTGCAACACTAGAACAGCGAAATCCTTCGGACCTCTCCAGAAGAGACGAAGTCATTTTTACTCGATTGCGCATCGGACACACGGCCTTGACTCACAAATACCTCCTACAGGGAGAGGAGAAGCCGTTCTGTGTCGGATGCGACACAGATTTTACCATTAGACACATTTTAACAGAATGTCTAGACTTTGGAGAGATCCGAAGGAAATATTATAAATGCAAGAAATTGCAGGATATTTTCTCCGTCGTTGTTCCCAGCAGAATTTTAAATTTTATAAAGGCCATTGGCCTTTATGGCGAGTTGTAAAGTGAATCTGATATTATTTAAAAATTTTTATTGTTACTTAAAAGTTGTTTTAGATCACAAATGTATTTACACCGAATTTGAATATTTTAACTTTTTAGCATTTTAAAGTAAATTAGTTACCAGCCGTGAAGTGAACTTTCGCAGAGGCGAACAACTTGTGTTTCGCGCGCTCATATGACCTTAGCAGTTGCGAGCGCCGTAAAACCTTATACTACTACTACTACTACTATTGCAACACAATGGCGTCATAAAAGTGCTGAAGATTAGAGGTGTTACAAGAGAGCAACGAACAGCAAAAAGAGGAGAGATCAGGACGATATATGTTTGTTAAGAAAAAAGGAGCAAACCGCACCACAGCTCCCGCCAACCACCCACAAGCAAGTATCACAGACACACTGAATAACAGAGGAAAGAAAAAAGAAAAACAAGCCATCGACACCCCCTCTCCCCAACCCACACGAGACCACTTGAGAGCTTCTACAAAAAACATAAAAAGTGGAACAAACCTTCCTAATCGCCAACCAAATACTCATAGAAGTCACAAACACACACATTGTGTGTGTGTGTGTGTGTGTGTGTGTGTGTGTGTGTGTGTTTGCGCGTGCGTGTGTGTGTGTGTGTGTGTGTGAGAGAGAGAGAGAGAGAGAGGGAGAGAGACAGACAGACAGAGAGAGAGAAAGAGAGACACATACATACATAGATAGATAGATAGATAGATAGATAGATAGAGAGAGAGAGAGAGAGAGAGAGAGAGAGAGAGAGAGAGAGAGAGAGCGAGACAGACAGACAGACAGACAGACAGACAGACAGACAGACAGACAGACAGACAGACAGACAGACAGACAGACAGAGAGGGTGATGGTTGTGCATTCTTAAAATGAGTTTTGAGTCATAATATTAACACTCGTGGATTATTTTATATCTATCGCATGCGACCCAGTAGTAAAAATAAAGACGAAGGTGAACGAAACAGAAGAGTATAGAAAGGGTATACTAAAGTGAATACCAAAAAAATTGACATATGCACATCTAAAATATACTATTATGTTCTCGGGTGTTTTTTCTGCTATCAAAAGAGCTGAAACCCACTAGGAGAGAGTGGGAGTGTTTGTCGAGTTTGACCTTCAAGCACACATTATGGAGTGTTGGAAATGGTCTTCGGTGTGTTATCTTGCTTTTAGAAATAATTATGCTAGTTTTCTCATTCATGAACATAGCCTCATTGTTTTAAAATAATAAGGGTACAGCTCATTTAACATTTCATTTTTTCTTGCTGGCATCTCTTGCTGTAAGTATGTATGCACGTGTAATAACTATGTGATGACATAACGGCACTGGTGTGTGGACCAGCTAATAACAAAACGCAGTAACGAAAGGGAGAGAGAAGAGATATTAAGAAAACGACAGACATCAGATGGACACACAGACAGACAGACAGACAGACAGACAGGCAGCGAAAATATATGTGTGCAAGAGTGCGCGCGCACGAGAGAGAGAGAGAGGGAGAGAGAGAGAGAGAGAGAGAGGGGGGGGGGGAGAGTGTGTGTGTGTGTGTGTGTGTGTGTATGTGTGTGTGTATGTGTGTGTGTGTATGTGTGGGTTTGTATACATTATGTGTTGCATGTGCATGCTGCTTGTGTGTATATGT